GGATAGGAAGATTCTGTGAATTTAATGTGCCCCGGAATCAGAGGAGGCCTTAGTGCGCTCATGTGTCGGCGATTAACAAGGTGTTAAGGGCTTTTTTGGCTGCGTAAGGAGATTCTGTTGGATGTCACTGGGCTTCTGCCTCCAAGCAGAATTGTATTAATTTTAAGATTCAGATACCTGCTTAATCTGAAGCAGTTAGATAAGATTAGAAATACAGGAAGCAAATTTGCACTGAATTTAAAGTGGTGGGGATGTTTGGATCTGGTGCTTTGGCTTCTGTTCGCTTTCAGCTTTCCTTTGACCTTGTGAAACGGTCTCCATGCCTTGCGCTGGGGTGGGGTTGTTAGCAGGGATCCTCTGCGTGGCAACAGCCCTGGATTTGGGGGGTTTGGTGGGTTTTTTTCTTCTGGTAGGAGCTACTGATAGTTTCAAGTAACTCTATACCGGTTTTGCCAAACAGTGTTTCTTACAGAACTCTTTATATAGAAGTGTTTTTTATTACTAATTGTTAGAAGCCTCTGAATTGTTAATACACTAGGATGCATGCCTTAGGATATCAGAAACAGTATGTTCATTGGCTTAGTATTTTTAGATTAAAGTTGCATTTCCTGGTGATTTGAATTTCTTCCTTGTCACCCTCTTGAGAAAGAGTCTGTCTGAGGCTGTGTCAGCACTCCCTGCATGACATAGGACTTGGCTGCTTTTTAGTATTTCATTAGGAAAATAATCTAATACCCCAAAGTTGTTTTGCAGCAGTCGGCTACATTCCTTTTCTGTGCAAAAGCTGAACGTGCTATCAAGGAGCCACAAAACCGCTGATGTTAGTAATTGCTTACAACGCTGGAAATATTAGAAACATTTAAATGCTTTACTGTTCTGAATAATGTTACAGAAATGGTGACGCCTTAGATCATGCCTCCAGATTACTGCAGAAATACACCCCCAAAAGTTGTTTCTCTCTCTTCCAAAGCCCACCTAGGGGAGCAGGGGAGGCAGGCAAACCTCTGCAGTGTCAGGGAGCTTGTGCTGGAGGCCTGTACAGATGTGCCAAGACCCCAAAGCATGCCCAGTTCTCCCTGCCTTTCCAGGGTCAAGCCTCTCCCTCTTCCAGGGAGGAAGAATTTGAAAGCAGCTATTGCTAATACTTGCATGCTCACTGGTCTGGAAAATTCCTCAACAGCGTGCACTAACACTTTAGGATAAAGTCTGTCTGTGATTTTTTTTTTTTTAAGTATCTCGCTGTCCACACAGCCCTATTTAATGGCTGCAGAGAACCGCAAGACAAAACGGTGCTTCTGTACGCTGCTTGCAGGCTTTTCCGATTCGTTGGGAAGCTGGGGTTGCCCTGATAAAATTATGTGCGTTGCAGACTGAGGAGGGAAGATCTGTCTGCGCATCCTCAGAATTGCTCATTTTCCTCCAAAAGATGTGCTTGTGCCAGTTGTCAGCTGAGTTTTGCTATGTGAGTTATTTGCTAAAAGAAGCGGTTTCTTGGGAACTATTCACTTGATAAATCAAGTTGCCACTAATGTAACTAAAGATATCTACGCTGGCGATTGAGTTACTGCTTGTCATACTGCGTCGTGCTGTAATGGCAGTAAAGTGCCTGGAATGCAATTTTATTGTTTACTCTTATGCCTGTGTAAATAGCTAATTTATCTTAATGACTGGATGGGATGTAATTGGAATTGAGTTTTCAAGGATGTAATATGCATATTAATTATAAACGTGAACTGGCCATCGGGAAGACTCTTGTCTGCCTGATCCTCTTAATGCTGGTAAACATCATTATCTTTTCTAATGAGCCGTGATGACTGACTGTAGCGCTGTTCTACTCTGGGAGTCTATTGTGGACGCCTGGTTACCAAAACAATTTCCCCCGAGAGTTTTCAACAGATAGGAGATCCTGCAAGCGTTTTTAGAGCTCCTGCACTGGCAAGGTGGAACATTTCTGAAGGTGGGGAAGCTGGATTCTACTCGCAGCTCTGTGCCTGTCTGGTCCCCGTGTGACCCTGGAGAAGCAGCTTTTCTTCTGTGGAGTAGGGCATGAAACAGGGTAGTGGTTGCAACCAAATGTCCTGGAACATCGAAATGTCAACAGAATCTTGCTACAGGAAACCCTGCAGCATGCTGCAGCCCACAAACCTTTCTGTGCTTCCCTGTTAAAAGGATAAATATGTGGGCAGGAAAAAATGAAATTCAACTCTTGGAGCACATGAAATATTTTTACACAGTGGAACTGTTAATAACTTTCATGGAAGAGAATGAAAATATTCCGTAGTAGAGACACTGTATCAAATCCATAAAATACTATTATAAAGAGCACATGAGAAGTGGCAGCATGTTGTTGGCTTAGTGTTGCTCTTGCCTTTGTTGGAAGATATTTAAATATTTCATAATGTATCTTTATAAGCCGGAACTTAAATTTAAGTAGCCAGTTGTTTCATTGCGACTATATGGCCTTCCGCAGTTGGTTCACCTCATTCAGCCGCTGGTTTGTGGCTTGATCGGTTTGCAAGTGAAAAATAAGCATGGAAAAAGTTCAGCCTGGTTGAAGCAAGTTTTTTTTTTTTATTATTAATGCAAGCACATCCAGTCAAACACAGAATATCCTGCTTTATGGTACAGCTTTTATATTTAGCATTTCAGCTCAGAATAGCAAAACACGGTATTGAAGGAACGTATCAAACTGAGGGAGGAAAAATGAAAAGGAACCAATGTGGATACTGCATTGATTTCAAGTATATACTAGGACTGATTGACGAGTGAAGTGCACATTCATGTGAAAGCTTTTTTTATACAGTTACAGAAAGTGTTCTAAAATTGCATCTCAAATATATATTTTTTTCTTAAATTTTAAGCATCCCTTTTAAATTTCAGTTACGTAAACAAAGCTGATATACAATCCCTCTTATAGTGTCCGACAATGTTACTAGCTAGAACATCTCTGAAAGTGCAAAACACTGTAATAATACAGTATAAATATTCTTACTCTAATCCAGGGCTGAAGGTCAGTACTTCAGCACAGGAAAAATAGCAGCAGATCATAAGAATTATCCCTTCCCCTTTTCTGGGCTGTTCTTGTTAACAGTTAGTATGCTACTCCTTCCTTCTTCATGGCATAACTTGCTTTTGTTTCTCTTTGTCAATGCTATGGGAATAGCAAAATGTTGATTTATCTCCCTTCCTTACCCCAACTTACTCTTCTAATTTTAAGTATTTGCAAAGGGGGGGATTTTAAGTATTTGTCAAGGGAGAGAGGGGAGGCTCTTTAATTTTTCAGTGTACTACAGGGCCAATACAGCAAATAATTTCTGCTAAGTGACTGCAGATGCTATATGAAACAGTGGCACTGCTCTTGGTCGTAGGTCCTCGGCAAGAGGAGTCTACCGGAGTGGAATAAACCAGACCTTCGGTCCAGCAAGTCTTGTCCCTTCTTCAGCAGAAGGCAGAGTAAGATAAAACCCACCTACTTAGATTGATTGCTTTTGAAATAGCTTGTGCGGAGGTCCTCTCCGAGGCTCTATGAAGGCGGCTGCAACCGCTGTGAACTCTAGCAGGCCTTGTTCAAAAAAAAAAAAAAAAAAAATCTAATTGTCTGGCTCAAGTAATTATCTTTACAAATACCCAGCCTTCATGCCTTAAAAGAGCCATTACTGGAAAGGACAATAATAATAATTTGTTCATTAAACAAAATAGTTTTTAATTTAAGCCTATTTTTTTTTCTTAATTCAGAGATGAAGTTGAGAAAACAAGGCTTGAACTGTGTATTTTTTTCTGGAACTGAATACCTTGAATCTTAACGTAAGCTCCTCAGGTGCTCATTTGGATAACCAAATAGGGTGCAAACTCAAGGCTACAAGGAGAAATTAGAAATGGTAAGCATCAGCAGGTTTACAAACCATCTCTAATTTTGGTAGTGACCTGGGTTCAAAGGTTTGACCTATTTCTTACGGTGTTTCTCCTTAGATTTCAATGGGTTCTGGCCTGGACAGTTAATCATGGCTTGCAAAATACTAGAAAAAGCTTATAGCATATGTTGGTCTTTGCTTTACTTGCAAGTGCAGACTAGCATTTTTGAAGGAAACAAGGGCATTTAATGCTCAGTTCAGTGGTGATGAACTCTTCCTAAGCTTCTTTAGAAATTTTAGCCTTAGCTTCAGATCGGACATCTGAGTTTACTTCCCTCTCCCTAGCTCATGTACGATTTTGATTTTCCAAAACCTGTTTTTAAAAAAACATATTGAGCCTGTTTTGCAGAGATAATCTAGGTTAGACATCCTTCTATTAAACAAAACAAAAAAATATCCCTGATTTTTTCAAAAGGAAAACACAAACTATTCTGACAGCCATAATTTTAAGGATAGTTCCCAGAAGTACTGAAACTTGGACATGCGTGCATCTTCACACACGTACGCACACATACTCACACACAAGCACACATCCCCCAGCAGTTTCCCCATCTTATCTCTTTAAATCATGTAACAAAAATACGTTTGCTGCACCATCAATGTTACAGGCAGGTATACTCTACTTCATGTGCCATATTCTCCATGTTATTTTAAAAGTACATTGTAGCTGGTTTCAAGCCATCCATATTTTTATTTTCTTTACTTCCAGTCCAGCATAATAGAAGGTACACTAAACAATATCAGTACCTTGTAAGGCACTATTTTCTGATGTAGGAGAGGAACACGCTTACGGCAGACGTCTAAGGCCTCGACTCTACAAACACTTACTGACAGATGTGAAGAGTGTTGCTGATTTGAAGGAGACCCTTCACTTCCAAGCTAGAGAGGCATGTTGAGAGTTCTATAGGGTACTGGTCCAATGGAGTATTTAACCTGAACACTGGCTTTAGTTGGGATGTGTGTTTTAATTTTTATTTATTTTGGTGGAAGTAATAAAATAAAAATTTGGATGGTGATAGAATAAGATCTACCGAGGGATACCATCGCCCATGATACATTTCATCTCTGAGAACAGGGCCCTGCCCTTAAATTTAAAATAAAAAACCAAAACCCTTCACTTAAGTGCCTTAAGGTTGACATGTGAAATATTTACCACATTTTATTTCATAAAAGTTACTGTATATACAAAAGAGACCTCAGCCAGTGAGGCCTTTCTTAGCTCAGTCCAAGTCTTTCGGGTTGTAAAAACACATTCATTCGATGTGCTTCAAAGTCTGCAGATCAGATCCAAAAATCTCAGGCTCTGTTAAGCAGAGTTGTCCTAGAAGTAATAAAAAAATAATGTTTTCTATCATGACAAAAAGTTTTACAGTTTTGGTAAACGTTGGCAATAGATCTATCTCGCATCGTTACCTGGAAGCCTTTCTTCAAGGGATAGACTTTCAACTGCTACAAACTGGAATACATCTATGAATTCCAATAAAGATGCTGACTTTAAATTAAATGAAAATTTAACCTTTGTAACATTACTTCAGGCCCTTAAGATGCAAATAACATACCTTACTCTGTCTTTCTAAACTATTGTTTGTTAAACGGCATCAGATTTAAAGCAAGGTACATTGCATGGGTGTCATCAGTGAAAAGCTTATGTGGACTTCCTAAGAGACACTGGCAAACAGTGTCTCATCGGGGACAACTCAGTTGTAATACGGAGCTCAGGACATGTAGACTTCTTCATTCTTTATCTGGTGCAGATATGTCAAATCTAAATGCTTAATATGATTTACAAATGTCTAAATCTCTCTTTCTGCCTTGGCCTCACTATTAGAAGAAATCTCATCTAAATTAACCGATCTCATCATGTACTTCCCCCTCTCAAGGGGGGAGGAGGTGTCACTGAGACTTTCTCCCGTAAGAGTAGGTTGAAAATTAGAGTATTCATATAAAATTTCATCCTTTTATAAGATTTCTCAGTGCGTAGGTATGATAAATGATGGCACCTTCTTAGTATCTTTATATATTTGTTCCCCCGAGAAAAGTATGTCTGAAAACTGCTACAAATGTAGATTCTTTTACTGTATTGGATGTCCTAGACAAAGCGTATTCTCTTTCATAGCCCCAGCAGTGATCCTGCAACCTGAACTGATCTGGCTGGAAAAGCTGTATCAAAATCCAAGCCCTGCTGAATTTTTTCCAGATTTGAATTTTGAAGAAAAAGTAATTGTATTTAGGCCAAAATGGTCTTAAGCTGGGTATGCAAATAGGAGGGAGGAAGCTGATGATCGCATGCCTGTATATGTTTGCAAAAAAGACTCATGCTCTGAGAAAGCTTTATACCTGAGTGTTTTCCAGCTGTCTTTTTCCATGTGGTTTTCTGGACCTTCACTTTCAAAGGATGCAATGAACAGAGCTAGTAAATAAAATAAGAATAATCAGATACATGGGCTCTATAACTGGAGAAAAAAATAATTAAACGTTACAATATAGCAGGTGTATCTTAGGAGACTTCAGAATGAAGTTCATTCTTATCAGAAACTGATACGGAAGTGATAATACATACTTATCAAATTTTTTTTGCATGTTAATTTTTTTCATTTGTATATTATGTCTGCATTTCAGCAAGCAGACTCACTATAATGGATTTTACCTTCTTCACTATAAATAGGTGCTGTGAGTAGATAGCTCTGGATCTTCTTGTCTTTTTCAAAGGGGCACTCAACCTGCTTCCATGTCAGAAAATCGTGAATCTGTCTTGAAATTTCCCAGAATTTCTGCATAAGATAATTAAAATAATATTAAAATCAATTTGTTTTCTTTCAAATATTAGTTCTTTTGTTTCAATTTCACAGCCTCTCAGTCTTGTTCTTATTCATGCTGCTTCTCTTATTATCCCTTACTCAGTCTTCTTCCTTGTTCCCCTTTCTTCTTACTGCTCCCTTCATCTCCCCCTCTTGCTCCTAGCTGCTCATCTGTTGTCAGCCTCACAAGCTTAGAATAGCGTATCCCTGCTTAACCACCTGGTCTTTTGCATTCCATTCTTTTCATCCTCAACCTTTTCTTCATATATAGTAAAGAGCAGTTGCCCTGTTTTCTGTCTTATCTCTAAATTAGCCCGCGAGTGGAACTGCTCAGTAAATGGTTTTTGTTTACTGACTTGACTTTTTACATTTCCAACCTTCAACTTAAATGAAATGTGACGTACCTGATTTTTTCATAAAGCACTTTTTATATTTAAAAAATAACCAAAATAGCATATAGTAACTACAGATATCCTTACCTTCCTAGGATTTTTAAAATTGCGTAATTACTTAGGGTTTGTCTTGTATATTCCGTGTGCCTCCCTCCCCATCCTTACTAATGGCAAAAAACTTTAAAAGTACTTTTTATGGGCTGTGGTCTTTTGGATGTGGATGTTTATTAGTCAGGGAGAGAGAATCTAGCACCTGTGTAGAAACTCCCTTGACCTGATAAATACCATTTGCTGGCTGTGTGAAGCGTTTATAGCTAGCTAACCTGATGATATTTAATCAGCTAATGCTGATGATACAGGGTGAAGTCACCAATTGCAATTTGATCAGATATGATGGCTTGCTGCCACAGAAAAGCTTACTTTCCATTCTTTACTGCATTCCGCTTCCACAGGCCCTTTTGAACATAAGGCAGGTGCAGGGCTGAGGCGTGGCAAGCTTTTGTCTGCCATCATACTTGGTACACTAAAATTCTTAGCTTCTAGATCTCATGATTACATGTTCCATGATTACAATGTTCCTTGAAGAGATTTCTCTTTCCAATTAGCCAACATTAGACTACTTCTAGACTACCTGTGTATCACTTAAGTAATTTTTAATGCTGGGGGGTTTGGCTTCTGGAATTCTGATTTTCTTCTCAATCTTTTCATGCATCAGTTTTGGTAACAAATTATAACGTTATGCCAATCAGTTCTGCTTATGTGAATTATATGTTTTGCAGTGCATCTGTCCCACTTCTTGTAAAACTAACAAAAATAATCTATTTCAGTACATTTTAAAACTAATCTTTTAACTGAAGACAATTACATTGCAGCAATTTTATGAATTCTTTTCTGTGTATGCCATTGTAGACCTGCTGGATGTGTAATATAAACACGGCAACGGCAAGCGCTGGCTTTCACAGAAATTTGGTGAAATCATTTCCCCTAGATAACGATACCGCTTTATGTCTGGATCACAGCGATGCTGAAGGAATTGGTAATACAATGAGCTAGAAGTTCAAAACTGGCAAATGTTTGTAATGTACAAGGTTTAACTAGCATTACAGTTTCTATATTGGCAAAGTCCTACCTTGAAGTTTATCTGCCCATTGGGCAAGCGGTTCGTGTGTATTTTGTGCAGAAAGTAGATGTCTTTAATAAACAGGTTGAAAACTGGGATGACTATTTTCTCCCGATTGCTGTTGGCAGTCTGAGATCGCTGTGCTGCTCCTTGCAGGGCTGTGCGGTAATTACAAAAGTTGCTGGATGGATCCATGTGATGCTGTTGTTATGGGGGGAGAAAAGGCAGTCAGTAACACGTTTCCTAAATATAAAAAGCGTTGTTCTAACCATCATAGTTCATTCTTTATGAATTTGTTGGGCCCCTTTTCAAACCTTGAAGGTAGAGTACCTTATACTGATCACGTCTGGATTCAGGTGTTTTGAATTTCTGTCTTGTTTGAAAGGAGGGTTCTGTACTGGCTTTACATTTATGCTTTGCTTCAATGGTTAGTGGAAGACCAAAAGGAAATGATAAATGACTACTGGAAAAAAACAAAATTCTAACTTTCTGTCACAAATCTTTGATGACGATTTCAATGAAGTTTTGTTTTCATTCAGATCTCCACTAGATGGAGTACTCTAATTAGTTTTAAGGGTAGCAAGATGCCATTCACTTGAGTGAAAACTACCTTCGTATTAAATTGGAAAACATATGCTAGGAAGAAATGATTTAAAGAAAGCTTCCACCCACTTCTCTTTGCAGGTAAGCAGGGACTTTGAAATTCAGGAAATACTCTCCCTAACGTTTATATGCTGGTGACCACTGATAGGGGTGCCTCCGTGATGTTTGACTTAGTAATTCCACAGTGGAGGTTTGGATGAAACCATTTGGTGGATTTCTATATAAAGTCTAAATTTTACACATACCTCTAAAACATCAAATTTGGCTGTTTTGACCTTGGACCAAGTTTTCTTTAGGCGTGCCACAGGACTCAGGTTCATGCCAGCTGAATGGAGACAGAAGAGACAAAGAAACAAGCAATTGAGTTGAAAAAATACAGGACTAACATAACTCTGCATTTATGTATCAGCACTGCTCACTTTGAAAGGCAGTTCAGCTTGGCAAACAAAAGCTGTAGCTAACACTCACCCACCCACATGTTAATCTGCTACTGGCACATGCAGCCCCTGTAGCAGTGTGCGTGCTGATGGGGTCAGGCGATGTAGGGCAAGCACAAGCATAGTCTTGCCAGTCAGGCTGTAAAAGGGAGTGCCTTTTGTCATCTATGTTAAGGATACTCACAGATAATAGCCATCATTGAGTTAAAGTTTCCAATGTTGAAGCATTCTCTTGCCACGTCAATGAAAAATTCCACCATTCTTGTACGCTGCTTTTTCTTTACAACCTGAAAAAAACAAGATCTGTTGTGAGGGAAGGGATGGCCTGAATTTTGGATAGGACGTTCAGACAAAGGCATTGTAACGGGTTGATTGAATAGACATTTCAAGACTTTATCCAGCTAAATCTTACGATGATATAGGCCTGAGGGTATTTTGTTACGATTTTTAATAAAATAGCAGTAGTATTCAGGGCTACTATCAATTATCTGTCCAGTTGTGCGGGAGAGTAAATGTTTGTCTATATATAAAGTTCAGTGTCTTAGGGAATCTTGTATAAACAAGCTGGACACTTTCTGCAATTTCCTGTTACTGGAAAAAGGAGATAGCATGATGCCACTATCAGAAAGAATACGTGCAAAAAAATTTAAACCTCCGAGAAGGGGTGGGGAAAGCAGTGGACAGACTTAAGACCAGGGGCATGTAACCTGAATGTGAGAGAACAGTTGCCATGTCCTGATTTTCTCATTTTACTGTGTATACTCTTACATAACCTCTTGAGAGCAGGTAGTGATGACGATCAAATATATAAATTCCCACTCATGCAAACATGCAAAGGATCTAGCAAGAGATGCTGAACATCTGCGTTGCAGATTTTTATACATGCCCAAGCAAAATTAACATATAGCACTATCTCCAAACTTTGTTTCCAGAAGGCATCAGTCTTCCTCTCTTTTTGATTTTTCTTAGTATTATTGCCTAGATTACATTCATTCACCAAAAACTTTCCCATATCTAGAGCTAGAAGTTTGGTTTGACTACTTCACCAGGGATTTCCCTTTCTTTTTTATAAAAACCTCTTAACTAAATAGTTTGTGTCATATCAAAACTAAATGGTTCAGTAGTCAATGGCTTGGCTCTTGGTATCCTAAAACCTTTTGTTTGACTGGTTAACTAAATGTATTAGCCATACTAGCCAGCTCAGGAAGATGTCTTGGTGTGCTTTTGTAGTAAGTTTCTGCGAGAGCAGAAAATCTTAGGAGATTCGGATCAATATATCGAAGTCTGTGAAACTGCGGTAGGCATCTGGATTTCCACAGAAGAGCTACTGACCAAGCAGGAATAGAGGGAAAATTTCCCATTTGCTAGAATTGATGCATATCAAGAGGAATCTAAAAAGAAAAAAAATCTACAGGCCAAAAAAAAAAAAAGGGGTTCTCAGGCAGTATACCTTCCATTTCTTTGCTTATTATATGATAGAAGTTACTTTAACCTCTAATAAGGCTGTTGTCCCTCTTTTTCTTAACCTCTCCAGTAGTCCACTTTCTTTATAGACTTCTGAAGAAAGTTTATTCCTGATTTTTCTACAACAAAAAATAATATATGACAATGCTAATGATATGTACATGCAGTGCATTTAGACAATAAACAGGACAGCTGTTTATTGGTAAATCTGCATTTAAGGGAGGTATCTTTGAGAATTTATGGATGCATTTAAAAACAATAAATAAAAAAAAACCCAAAGGAGCTCCTAACTCAAACTCCACACAAGTTCCATTTAACTGCATGGCTAATTCTACCATAGAAGCTACACAAAACTAGAGAATATATGCAAAGCTAAACACAGCCATGAATTCATAATCGTATAAGCATGCAAATAATTTCATGCTGGAGTAATGCCATTATCTTTAATTACACTGCTAATGTTTAAATCTCTATTAGACCACTGCCTGCCTTTTGTCCTTAAGACCAGGACCATTTGCTATCTTCTTTTCTATGAATACCTACCCGACAAATCTCTGTAGCCACCAGCATGCTGAGACAATTGAACCAATTGTCGTAGGCCTCCAAATTATATGTTTTGGTCACATCGCCTCGGCACTGTAAGAGAACTGACCACATGTTAATCCTATTCTGTATCATGATAAATCAACATAACAAAAGATAAACTTCCTTTTCATGTCTTGATGAAATCTTGTTGGGTATTTTCTCAGGCATAAGCTTAGAAAATGTCAGCCTTTCTTGCACAGAGTATACTCAAATCATGGAACTCTTTACCCTGGTCATTCTTTGTTGCTTTTTCCCTCCGTATCCCTTTCTGTACCTTGTGATTATCCAGGGAGTCCATGTGGCTGACAATCTGCATCAGATCCTCTGGGTAAATGTTGCTCACCCTCTCCTGTGTTTGGAGAGATGAGAGACTGTCACTGTACAGACAAACATGGAGCTCAGTGAAAAACACATCAATAAAGCCAAAGTTAGGAGAACATTTTGGTAACTTTCATCTTCCTACAGTGCAGATGTGTGAGGTGTTTTTATTGGTATACCTGATTAGTCTTGTTCATTACTTGGTATTTTATGATTAAAACATTAGAGACTTCCAGTGAAGCCATAGCAAAATACACATTGATGAGTATATTAATACTTAGTAAATGGAAAATGAAGTAATTCACACAAATTAGTGTCTCACCAGTTCGATATAGGTCAGCTGCTGTGCCAAGATCAGAGGGTCACAGCACACACTCAGGATGTCCTTTTGAGTTGACTGTGACTTGGTTTTGAGGATGGTGCCTTTGTCGGTAGCAGGTTGCCGGAATTTCTCTCTGATTTCCTGGTACTGGCTCCGTGCAGAGAGGGCCATCAGGAGATTCTGTGTCATCTGGCTAATGATCTTTTTCACTGTTCCATTTTCCTAAGCAAAAGGCAGAAACAATGACTGCTAAAAACCTTTAGCTCTTGCAGATACAGATCGCCAAAGAATTTCTGACTGGGAAAAATAAACACCCATTATCAATTTTCTTTCATCTTATCTGAGCTGATCATCCTGTCACAAATAAACTTGTCCTACTGCCCACACAACTTCATAATGACACTGTTATGCCTGCCTGCCTTTCCAACTCTGTTTCCTTGCTTGGCTGGTCTGCTCCTTGCAGCAGTTTTTGGCTCATACCCCGTTTCAAAGGCATCAGGGGAAACAGCTTAAAAGTGGGTACAGCGCAAGGTGGTTGAGTTGCTTGCACGAGGCTTCTTGGATCCCCTGTGTACCAAGAGCCAAAAAGCTCTTTCTCATTCTGGTCAGAGCCACTGATGATCAAGTCTATCTAGCCCAGGCAGAATCCAGGGATAATTCACATATGTCCAGGAATACACCCCTAAAATGCCCTGGCTTGGCTTTGAACAACTGTAGCATCCAAAGATTTAGGTAAAAGCACAACACACATCATGTTCTTGGACAACTAAAATGCTTTTCTGTTCATCAGGTGCAGATTTTAAACATAAAATCTATAAGGACACACACTGGTACAGTCACAGAAATATTATCTGTCTGCTCAGTGTTTTGACAACTAAGGCAAGCCAAATCCTTTATGCCACTGATTGGTCGTGTCCTATAGACATTTCTCTATGAGGTCAACCCCAAAGAGCTAACTTGATCACTTTTCTATTCCTCCATTCCTCCTGATACTGATTAAATAACCCAGGTTCTCTGACCCTGTTCTTCCTGCTGCTGGAAAAACTAATTCTGCCAAAGGCAGTCCTTCTTCTCTTTTCGACACAACTGTTCTCTTGCTTTAATGCAAATTATTTCTCTTGCAGTTAGCCACAAGGTTAGCAGTTAGCTTACAACCTGCTGTGTTGGTTCCTGCCAGTCAACTGGATGCACTAGAAGGAACTGCAACGAATCTGTGATCGTTCAAAGAAGCCACTAATGTGCAGTGATGACTGAAATTATGTAGCAGATGTGAGACACGATGACTACCAAATACTTGTATATTGCATGCTATAATTAAGCAATAACAGTGTCAGAATGTTGCTTTACAAGGCAATAATCCGACTCCCAAGTGGAATCAAATGAAAATCTGAAGACAGTGTAGCTTATCTTGATGAGGCAACTGGATTACTACTGAACAGCAGCTGGCTGGAGCCATTTCGGATATTCTGCTACAAGTGTTCAGAAATGCTAAGTGAGCGTGGTGGTGGGACTAAAATAAAGTGCTAATTCTGCTCTCTGGTATGCTGAGCTTTCTACTGCAAATCATTTGACTTCAGCCACTATGCGTGACTTACCCACGTGTCTGGGAGGACGCAGACTTTCTAGATATGGGTCACAGAGAATCAAACTTGAAGGCAGAGTTTTGCACATGTTATGGGGAAGTGAACAACACCGCAGTGACATCAAAAACTATGGCTGGCTTAAGCTATTGTGAATTTATTAGCGTCTTAATACTTAGACAAATGCCCTTAGAGTTTTAGCAGATTCCTTCCATTACTAGTTTTAACCTAAATTTTCTTACACCTTTGGAAAGTAAGTCAATGAGTGTACAATAATTTGTTCTTGTTTGAGTTCAGACAAGACAATTGTACTTCATTTGGGGCGCAACCCTGGCTGTAGCTATAGCTATTTGGTATGCTGTCTGATATCACTAGGACAAGTACCCGACCGCTTTGTGCGAGTTCTTAGTTTACTTTCTATCCTATGTATGGAGAATAGTGTCCTAAGGTGATTTGAAAAAGTTTTAAAATACAAAATAAAACCTGAAACCATTACCATAATCCCTTGCTGAAGCACAGTATGGGTAAATTCTTGTGGTAACAAATACTGAGAGCAAGAGCTGCTTTTCGTCAGTGTCAAATTATGTTTTCTAGGGGTCAGATGTGGCATAGCTTGTCACTGATCGAACTTGACTTGTAGCCTTGTTAAGGGGATAAATAGGGTGATGCTGTAATTAATGGATGTCACCAGACGCTTCAGACACCAGAGCACTGAGCCACTCCGTGAAGGTGTGTTTTTCTCAAATGACAATTTATTCATGCATAACAGAGTGGGAGGGAAGGGAAAAAGAAAGAAAGGCCAGAAGTTCTTTCTAGTTGAAAGTAACAGACAAATTAAATACTAAGATACGGATGCTAAATAAAACCTCTGCCAAGTCCCCCTTCACAGTAGTAACACCTCTTCACCCTTGTCTACAAAGTGAATAGAAGGCATTTTGTAATCCTATTTCCTTTTCCCCTGCTACTAAGGCACTGACACTTTCATTGTAGCATCCAGGTAAACAGCTCTGCTGATGCAACAAAACTGACATACTTCCTTTTGACAACTCGGTAACACCTAATTGTACTATACCCTATTGCTGATTCATGCAATGCTGTCAAACCTGTTGTTCTGCATTTTCTCTGTACTTGAATCAACAGAAACACATAATACAATTGTCTTCCCATTTCCTGCTAATTGTTCTCAAAAATACCTTGAAGCTGTGGGTTTAAAAACAAGGGGAAGCTTCTAAGTACATAGACATAAGCCTTCAAGTTCATACAAAGACTCCACAATTAATTCCCTTGCAGTTCTTGATTATATCTTTCCTTCTGTCTATGGGTAGTTAAAGTGACTTTCTCAAGGAGAAAAAAGTGTAGGCTTTGTGAGTGTTGCGGGGGTGAGGGGGGGGGAAATCCCAGCAAAACAAAAAATAAACAGAAAACTAACAGTCCTTGTTTTACTTGTATTTGCTTTATCTATTTGATTTAGAAGAAGTCTTCTGTGAGATCTAGTTTTCTTCATAGGCTAGAAACTCAGAGCTATTAAGACTGGTGATTGACTAGCTAGCAGAGCGCAAATATAATTTCCTTAGTGGAAATACTGTTGGTGTCACTTGAAACATAGTAACAAAACAGTTGCTGATTATTGCTAGGAGCTAGGAATAAACTATTAAATAATAAGCATCTGCACCTTGAGCAAGAGTACATTTGATACAACTAGTGATACGTTTTGTGGGACTTAGATGTTTAGAGTAGTAACTAAGGACAAAGTATGGTACATAATTTGTGATGAAAGTGAACTATAATGTGCCGTTATAGTCATTGTTCTTTCCTTTCTCCTTCTGCACCTCATCCATTTTTCGTATCGTCGTGACTACTTTGTCTCTTCCCCTTCTACTTAGTGATTATACCTAGACAGTTACTGCTAACCGACCATAAAGTTCATCGCTCAGCCCACGTCCTGCACTTACACGGACAGCTTAGCAACTGCTGCTGTAGTCCATTTAGAAAATACTGTATGCAGGAGCAAGACTTTGTAAACTATATGTAAAGGCTAACAAATATTGCTTTCTCCCTTAACAGTTTTTCTTCCCCCCCACCCCTACCTCATTGTATTGTGTAATCCTGTGAGCGATCTCCTTCAACTCTTTCATGGATTTTTCATCTTGGAAATCATAGGGGAAAGTTTCGGTCCATTCCTTCAGGAGCTGAATGATTTTGGCAGCAAAGGATTTTAGCTTTGCCTAGAAAGAAGAAACGAGTTGATTACTGACCATAGACCTTTCTGACTGCACAGTAAATTAACTGATGAAGGTTCACATAAAACTAGAGATACCTTTGAAAATACTTTGCTTTAGTAGTAGATGAAGTGGATAAAATAGAACATATTTAACTGTGAGACAGATTCCTAAACAGTATGATTTAGCCTCCTTTCATGATAGCTTGGTAATGTCTCTTACCAAACACTTTGAAGATATTTTCAAGGTTAGTTGTATAAAGCCAGGAAGACGACAGAATAGTTGAAGTGACTTAGTTGATTGAAGTCAATGGGACTTAAGCTGATTTATGCCATCTGAGGTGGCAGTACCTTAGCATCTGAATTCAAATGCATACAAACTGCAGCACTCTACCAAGCACCTTTCATGGGAAACATTCACAAAGACATTTTTGTTCCATAGAATTTATCAGACCCTCCATATTGAGCTGTATATTAAAATAAATGGATGACAGGAAAGATGTGTGTGTTCTCTCTGTGACACCTAAATCAACGAAAATATAAAGTATAGCTTTTTGAGTAAGAGCCGATCAGCCACAGAAAGGGGAGGGAGAGCTATTTTCTAAAGTTCTCCCTTGAATATTCTAAGGCTTTTCATCAGCCGGACCCGAACTGGATGCCAATTACTCCACTATCTTAGCAATAGCAGAACAGCATCAGCAAAGCACTCTTGTGAAATTGGGAATGCGAGTGCTAAGAACACTCTTAACGAACAGGAAGAATCAAAACTTAATTCGGGTTATATTTATTTTCCCACCCAACTTGTGATGCAGTGAGGAGAAAGAAGAAGCTTTCCTTTGTGTTTACCTCCCCACTTGTGTAAGCTACGGAAGTCCCACTACACAGCCGCTCCTTCTCCCCATGCACAGTGCGCTTTCCTCATTGCACTCTCCATCAGGCTCTTACAGGCTACAGAAGGTGACCTAGCACGTGAGTGTCACTACAGGAAATTGGTGTATTTTCTTTTAAGACAAATAGAGAAAGTCTTTCAAGAACTGCTAGAACCTCCGCCAAAACATCATCTGACCATAGTAAGTCCCAGTTTATTTAATCAAAACCAAAAGTCAACCAAACTAAGCTATTTTTTTGCCTTTTTTTATCTCACTGGTGTACATTCAGTGGGAATATTAATAATTTTAATAAGAACTTTTAAGTTAAACTATGCACCCTTGAATCCTTAATCTGAAAATGAGCCAGTGCTCCTTGTAAGTCTGAAGGGAATTTTATTACTTTTTTTCTTTCAGAGCTGAAAAATGCCCTCTGCTAGCATGCTTTTCCTAGATGGTTTTTTACTGATAGCATTTAATTGATCCTGGTAGTAAGAGAAGGGCAGAATAGTTGAGTAGTAAAGGCAAAAAGCAAACATCCTGTGGAGTCCAACTTCAAGGTATTTCTGAACAGTGTGGGACAGAGTTCCAGATTACAGTTGTCTGTCCTCCAAACTCCCCTTGTCGTCTGCCTTGGGGAAAAGACAATTTATACTTCTTTGCTAGGAAATGTGTGGAGCCTGACATTATTAAAAGAGTAATCTGTAGGTGGTGACAGAGAATTAATTAGCCATCCAGTGCGCTTCCATTCAATTAAAGTTAACAGGTATGTGCCTACTCCATTTTTGTTTACCAAAAGCTACTACAGAACTGGTTTTTGGTGTTAATTATCCTGACTATCCTTTCTTTTTGACTTTTGAAACTGAAAAAGGAGGGATGGGTCAGGAAGGTTCCAAAATCCTTCCTTAGGCCATGGCAAGCATCTCCATATGAACACTGACTTCCCATCTCATGTTTCTACTCAGGAGCTGCTAGGGTTTGCTTCCTTCATGACAGCAAGCCAGGCATCTGTTGCAAGACAAACTGCAAACTATATTACTCTTCATGTAATTACTCTTCAAGTGTAAAAAAGCTTAATGTTTTATCAGATGCTTTTCATGCTCATGAAAATAAGGTACGTTTTCTGAGAGCAACACTAAAAACCATCGCTATACCAAACCATGAGATTCCTGTTTCATGTGCAATCTGATGAGACCCAAAGCAGCATGACAGGCTTGATACACATAATTTGTGATAACCTAGATAGAAATCACACAGGTATGTCGGTAGCAGCATGTGTATTCCTTTTTGTCATGGTTGCAATAAACCAACCAACCTACTTTTTCTGTAGTCCTACTCCAGATGTGAGCCTCGCCTCAGTTCTCTGGAGTCTATGGGAATACTTCTCCCATAAATATTTCTTTGAGAAGCAAAATACTGCTGTTAATTTAAGTACTGTGGATCAGCCCTGTTCTGCATGAGACAAGACAGACAGTACTGAGAAACAACTACCTATTAGAAAGGAGGGCAATAGCAGTACTCTGCTTGTAGGAAAGGGAGGTTTAATGACAATGACCTGGTTATGAGTATTATTTTGTTTTTTAGTTTTAAAAAGGGGAACTTACTGGCAAGAAAGAAAGAGGGCAATCATAATTTTTGAAAGGACTTAGGTATTCCAAGAGAAGCTTAATTGAAACTTAACTTTTACTTTCTCTTTTTATTCCTTGCTTCTTTAACTTTTTATTTTAAAAGTACCCTCAAGCTGCAGAAATAATGCACCACAGTTTTAACAGCAGGTTTTTTCACTGGATAATGCTATACAGTTGCTTTTTTCTGTGACAATCTTGTTTGGGTCTTTCCAATCTCTAAAGTGCTTATGGAGAGTTAAATTTTATCCTTTATGGTAAAGCTTAACTACTGACTTGTATATTATAATTGATGTCTTAAACTGTGAAACCCTTCATTTTTGAGTGGCCAAAAGCGAGCTTGAAGACATCCCAGAGCATTTTTCTTTCTAATCTACCTTTCTCTGGGTGATTTTCTACAGGACTCTGGCTAGCCAGTGATGTCAAAAACAAAGGAATGCTAAGTATTGTGGTGTGTAACCTCAAAGCCTGGCTCCTTGCCATTTTTTCAGCTCACACGATATCCAGGCAACAAGTCAGCTAGCTTCGTGTTTGCTTATGCAAATCTCTTATCAGAAACGATCAGAGCTGCTTTAACTACTTTTGCTAGCTATTTCCTTCTATGGAGCCACTTAATTAGAAGGTGCTGGTAGCTGATGATACCTTAATGGGTTATGACTGTGAATATGTAGAGTGCCTTGAGTAGAGAATTTCTATGCTGTATGTGAAATGAGCTTTTATTTGTTGCCAGATAGAAAAACAAATGTTTGCAAATGCTAGTGGCCAAATTATTCTGTAAAACATACAGGTGCTTGCAGAAGAGGACAGTAAAGCAGTCATTTGAGAGGTATGTCAGAAGCTTTTGTAGTGTTTTCCAAGAATTTTGCGTTTAGTGGGCAGGAAAAAATTCGAGTTTATATTAAGGGGGCAGGAAGTGATCAAGGGCATAGCAGGAAAAGCAACCAGCAAAGTATGTAAATTAAAGCAGCCTCCCAAACGCTTATGTTTTATTGTCACCCTGCTGTTTGTTGGTTTTCGTGCAGGCCCATTTCCAAATTGTCAGCAGAAGGTACAAGAGTGTGGGTGTTCGGAATATGAGTTGCTCTATTTTACATCCTGTTGTAAGGATGTAATGCTATTTCATTTCAACGTGGAAGCCATGATTTTTTAACACATTTGCCGAAAAGCCAGAATAATACTACATTACAACTAATATCTTTAAAGAACTGGGTGATTTAGTCCCCAGATGATGTTTTCCTTTTAAAATCTCCTGAGTGTATTGTTATCCACAAAAGTTTCCTCTTACATACCATTATTTTTAAATCCAAGTATTTTGCATAAGTATTTTGACACTAGCAACTGACAGCAGTCTTCCTCTTCGTATGTCTACAGATCAGCGTTAGACATTTCATGTTTCAGATGGTACCAGCATCTCTTACAAGTTCCTATCTCTGCTGTTTAATTACGTGTTGCTGAGGAACTGAGCATCAGTTTGAGGTTGCTCAGTCATGAAATAGTTTGGCAGTAGCGATGGAAACAGCTATCACCTCTGTGTACAAAGCTTGGATGCAGTGGTTCTTGCATCTTTTTTCCCTGACCCCTTGAATTCGCCAGCACCTACATAATGAGTTACACAGCTATTTGGTTGAGTAGATCAGGGGACCAACCTGGATGAAAGTCATTTTGCACCAAGTGGTTGTTTTTTCCCATGCAGTAATTTTGTGACATAGTATGAGACTGCATCCCAGGAATAGTAAGGGAGAAAGAAGACCTTAGGTCAGTATTGCTGTCAAAAACTCTGTATTGCCAAACCATGGGGTTCTTTTTGTGCTCCCCACTCAGAGTCCTGATACAACAAGGAGCAAACAAAATGGGACCATCAACATGCTGAAGATTAGGAATGTGAGCATGTAATTTCTCACCATAGAAGAATGGATCCAAAACGTGCCCAGGATTTGAATAATTTAGGTCTTTAAATACGTGCTGATCTCATCCTTGTTTCGGTTGCCCTTATTTGCATCCCAGCTTGGACTATTTTGGTACTTCAGTTTCAGTCAAAAGCCCTTCAGTACACACCTTCCATAAAGGTGAGACTTAGATGGATTTAAGCGCATATCATAAACTGACCCAGTTTGGTTTAATTGGTTGTAGTAGAACTGCATAATCACGTGTGTGTCAGCACAGGTTACCATTTTAAGTAGTGCATCCCTTAATTTTTGTGAGAGGTAGCTTTCTGATTTACTGTTACACCATGTTAAAACACCCCACCAACAACCTACAGCAGAGCACTCAATTCTAATACGATGGTCAGGGTGCCTAGAGAAAGGGGAATCAGATTCAAGTAAGACCTAACTTGGTGAAAGCCCAGAAGTGCAAAGTGACTTGCTGGGCAGATTTCATGGCAGATACGCATTGCTCCAGCGCACGAAACCGACCTGTAGCTCATGAGCAAAGCTGTATTTCCAGCCACCATATCTGGTGGGGTAGTATATAACCTGTGTTTGTGGCTAGCGAAGAAGCAACAGTGCTTCAAGGAAAAAGACCCAAGTAAAAGTGCATCCAGTAACACATGCCAATGACAATTTCAATTTATTCTTTATCAATCTATTTAGCTTTACAAGGAGAAGGAGAAAGTGGGAAATAAACAACAGTAGCACAGCTTACTGAAGGACGTAATGGTTCATTTACCTTTTCTGCCTCAGTCCCCGTTTCTAGCTGCTGCTTCTGTTTAATGCAGATCTGCCCCACTTTAGCCAGGAGCTCGTGTGGGTGAATGAAGACTCGTGAGCTCAGTAGGAAAGTGAAGATATAAGTCCTCTGTGGAAACAGAAAGGAAAAAAAAAAAAGTTGAATAACTTTAGCAAAAATAATCTATCTTCCTTGGAAAAACTATTCCATAAACCACAGCTGTAACTTTCCCTCATCTAAAATTTTTATAATTTTTCCTGTCTCCAGAGACGACATGGTGGTGTTTCTTCTAGCTCTGTTAAATGGAAATGCTGTAGGTTTCAAGGGTGTTAACTGTGGTGTTTTCAGATTCCCAAATTATTTCCCTTTAAAATGCCAAACTTAATATGCCTAACTAGTCATCGCTCACAAAAAAGACAAATGAAGTATGTCCAATGTAGGGTGTTATGCCTCTTGAACACCACTATTTCTGCAGCTTTGTTTCTTTAAGAGTGATTGTTTTTCATTGAGCTGCAGAAAGCTGCTTCATGTGTATTCCAAACCACAGCTGTAATTTCTTCATGTATGATTTTTTTTTTTTCATTCCTTTTTCCCACCATCACTGACACAAGCTTTAACTTAGACTGTGGACACATGACAATAATTTAGTTTTAAGCTTGACTCTACTTATTTGGGGCCTGTTTCAGTCTTTTGAGTATGAACACTGCTAATAAATGCCAACAATTATTATTTCTCATAAGAAACAGTCTCTCCATTTGTATCATAAAAGCTGTAATGTATTGTATGCCAAACCATAGTCTGGACAGTTTAGTTGAAGTGAGAATGCCATCATGCCCTAGTCTTACTCCAGTGTTTGAAACTTGGCTTCTGTATTTGAATGTAATTGCCTAAGTAATGACAGTAGCCTCTCATAAGCATTTCTGGTTTTCCTTTAGGCTTTGTGGCAAAATTTGCAGCTGGGAAATGTAGGGGATCTCCTTGACAATGGATTTCAATTAACCTTTGTTATGTTTGCAGTGCGTACTGTTACTTTGCAGTGTTTTTAGAAATGTGATTTGGCAGACCACAGCCAGGTGTGCATATAATTAATGTGTGCATATACCACTTGGACCGGGCAAGTAAATTGAGATATCTAAAAACTTAGGAACAGTTGTCAAAAATATGGCATCTACTATTAGCTACCGATTTCTTCTGCTTGCAGTCTCTAAGACACACTTCTAGTTACAGAGTAACAGTGTCTTTGGGACTTCAAAAATGTTATGGGATTTATCTCTAATCACAATAAAACATGCTATTAATGAAAAATGTTTCCACTTCTTTAGTACTCGATGTGTCCTATAATATAAATTTAGCCCTAAAAACCTCCAGATGTCAGAAGGGGAAAAAGGAATGGGTATTTTAAAAAAAGAAATAAAATTAACTAAAAAATCACAGCGTTCTGGGAGTGAGTGAACAGTGTATTATAGTAAGCATATATCTATTAAACATCCAACTCTGTCCTGAGCTTGTGGAGGAAGCTAATGAAAGAACAGAGTGGAGTGTGATACAGCAGAGGCATTTAAAAAGCTTATTTGGATTTGAAGATGTTATTAGCACTGGGGTTCATGTATTAAATCAGGATTAATTCCGTACAATGAAAACTGGAGTTAATCCATAGTCTTTGCCTTGTCCATTCTTTATGAAGAGAGGAAGAGAAGGGTTAACTGGATGGACAGTTTGGGTCAGGTTCTCCAGTAGTGCTTCCACTGACGTCTACAGAAGATGGACAGCCAGGGCCATCAAATGACAGGGCTCTTGGTGACTTGGAGCAGGTGGTCAGGGTAGTGGCAGCACGCGGACAGCACGGCCTCCCTGCTTGATGGCACGGTTGCAAACATCTCACACTAGTGTACGCTGGGAAAATTTAAGAAACTGGGCTTCTGTTTGTTATTTTGTTTATGTCTCTCTCCAGAATTTGAGTTTATTTTTACATTTACAATGACCAAAAATTGAAGTTCATTAATTTTAAAAAGAAATTCAGTTTAGCTCTTACACCTGCATCTGGAAACAGTTGATAACATTGTGTCAGCTTTGGAGAAGCTTTATAAAAATCTCTAACAGTACTGTATGCAGTGGGTTATGGGCACTAAAACTAGGCTGAAGAGCTAATCTGATTCACAACAAGGGACTTGATTTTTTTTTTTTTTTTTTTTCTTTTTGAGGGGGAAGCTTTTTTTACTTTGTGTTAAACCATGCCTAGTAACCCTCTGTTATTTTTTTGTAGTCAACATCTGTGTTCATTTCTATCAGTGTTGTCCCTGAACTTAAAACTGTGAGTCTGGACTATCCGGGAAAGGAATTTAGCTGTTGGGTGCGTCAGCTGTCATGGGTTGTGTGAAAATTTTTGTTCTGGAAACATGAAGCAGCCCCCACTTGTACACTATTTTGCTTTTGGGAGGGATGGAGAATTAAAAAAAAAAAAAAAAAAAAAAAAAAAAGATATCCTTTGATACTTCCATCTCTTCCCCACATTGTTGCTTTGGGACTTTAGAAGCCTGTCTGAAAGATGCCTGTACATGTAAGTAGCAGGGAACCACAACTTAAGCCACGCTGTCCTGCCAGTGACCTTCGCTCTGATAAGCTGGAACACATTCTTTTAAGGAAAGATATAATTTTGCTTCTCGCACTAATTCTAGCGTTGGTCTCCTTGGTGGAAGTTTGTGTGATGTGGGACAGCGTTTATCCTGAGCGACTCTGAGAAAGGCCCACTCAGTATTGCTTCTCTATTGTTATACTGCAAGTAAAGTGTGACCCCGATGATCTGAGCTTTTATTTGGTTTCTTTGATAATGTTTTACATTATGTTCAAAAAAGTGCCAAACTGGCAAGATGCAGGAAGATACATGGCCACAAAAGTGCTTATTTTCCATTTTAGGCTTGCTGACGCTTATCTGTAATCAGTATTATCTGTAGTGGACCCATACAATGCTTTTCCAGACAACCCTGGGCTGCTATGTTTTAGAAACAGATTATTATTAACTCTAGAACCCATCTGCTGTATTTTTATAACATTTTTAAGTCACGTAACTGGAACTAGGTTCAGTACTTTGGAATTCAAAGTTGTTCCATTATGGTCAATCAAGATATGCTGATATACAATGTAACGGCATCTAATGGTGGAGGATTTTTTGGAGCTTTTGTCGCTTATGCGGGCATAGAGAAGGAGCAACAGCAATTAAGAACCAAATTGAAAATGACAGGTCTGACAGCAGCACTGACCCCCATCTCCTTGCCTCTCTGCTAATAGCCACTACCTATCCAATAAAGAAAATTCAGGCTGAACTAAGCTGTACATTTCAGCTTAGCGGCAGGTCTCGGGGGTTAGGAACACAGTCATTTTGGATAGGAAATATTTCATATTAGTATCATATGTTTCATCTAGATCAAGAATTTCTGTGATTGGTTGCACCTGTACTACTATACACATACAGGCTAAGTGTTACAACAGTGTAGAAACCTACTCTCTCTCATAGGCAGTGCCCTAATCATGAAGAAGATATTTGGAGAACGAAATCTAGCTATGAAACTAGCTGGTTTGACAAAGAATGATTAAAAAATGCTTCCATAAGCCATGAGATTGAAAGTTAAGCTCCATTTATCCTATGAAATTGACAGGTATTTGGGAGGAGAGGCAAAAAAAAAAAAAAAAAAAAAATTCCTTTATTTGCTTGGAACAACATAAGCTGACACAAAAGGTGTTTGTGCTTTACAATAGAATAAGAAGCCAGATTCCTTTAGTGCCTAAAGTTGTTGCTAAGAGATGAGCTGAATTTTATTAAAAAAAAAAAAGAGAGCGAGCACACAAGACTAAAGAAGGAATTGTTACTCTCTGACCCAAGAATCCACTGATGTCTTCTCAAGGAGGAAAAAAAAAAAAAATAATTTTTTTTGTGCACTCGCTGCTCATTCTGGAACTTTTTGTTTGTGAAATATTTCCTTGAAATGTTTTCTTGCTTGGGCACAAGGGTTGCAGACTGGTACATTCCATTCCTAACCTCCCGAACTCCCCCGTCTCATGAGTATACATTTTCTATGTGCTGAACAAGTCCCTATACACAAGCAAGCCTCAAAAGAGCAGTATACAAATGTAGGCCCTTATCTTTCCCGTTCTCTCTTGCCTGTCTCGTGTTCTGCCAACTTGGCAAATACATTTTTGTTTTGCCTCTGTAACCAGCACAGAAGGATACTCTGTGTTTGCTTTCTCCCCCACCCCTTTTTTTGTATCCTGTCTGGAAGGTTACTGTGATCTTTAGCTTAATGTCCACACAGGCAGGAATGGCTTCTAAGTACTGTGCTCAGATATACTAATCTAAAAATTTGGATGAGAACTACAATTTACAGATATGTCACTCTGAGGTAATCTCCGCTAGCACTACCAACAGCTTCTCTTGGTGCAAATTAATTGGTGATGCCTTGCTGCCTGCCTTAGCACGTGTAGCCAGAAACATGAGACTGAGAGGTGTTCGTACCCTTCTCTCAAACATACAGTATTGGCTACTCTTCTGACAGGATATCAGTGTAAATGGCTATCACTGTAACCCTCTGTGGCAACTTCCCTAAAAATAAAAATGAGCATGACATTAAGTATAAACATGCAACTGAACTGAAATGGAAAACTTGGATTTGACGATGACTCAGATACAGCTCCTTCTTTATGTTGCTCAAAGCTTGCTTATCTACTCATTTTATAATTAATCTTTCAGCTAAATTGGGTGGTCTGATTTAATTAAACAAATGTGTCCCGCTGTAGAAGA